GCCGGTGGAGTTCGCTGGCTACGAGCTTCCCCGAAGCCCCGTGCTGACCGAACCTGACAAGTCTAACCATAATGTTGGTGTTTTTTGTACAAAACGGGTCATAGAAATAGAGACCTCTCCCTTTCAGCTCCATGATCCTAGATATTGGGTTTACTCAGAGATATAATAAATACACTTTACTGCAATAAACATATAACAAATATGTTCTACTCCAATTAAATCCTAATCTGTTAAATGAACATTTTTAAAAAAAAATGTGTACTCAGACTTAAAAAAAAATAAAATGTATGTTTCACACTCATATATATCTTTGGAAAAAAAATTAGGTTGTGACAGATATTGTAATTCAACAGTATTGTTGGAAACATAGTAGGAGATCTGTTTAGTCAATGTGCATTTCTTGATGAATTCAGTATATAGTAGAAAAGCCAGCAGATGCATGGGCAAGCTGACTGAATTTAGTGTAAACAGCATGCATTATTCCAAAACCTCTCTAGATGACTGGCAGCAGGCTAGAACAGCAGCTGTAGATGTAGAAAAAGCTAATTCCTTTTCTGTAGATATATTTTAATATTGATTCTCAGAGGATTTTAATTACCTGTGTGTGTTCTTTGTATGTCCAGAAGCAATAGTGAAACTATAATTAAGGTATTAGAATTTAAATCAGGGCAGAAACTTTTGTTGCATAAAAATGTGTTTAAAATCAAAATACTTAACACAGTAATGCTTATTCAGGAGCCTCCCTACAACTGTTCATGTCTATAGTACTTAGAAGCAAATGCCATTATTTTTTTACTGTTCGGTAAATGTAAGTAGAATTTAAGCCCAAATAAGCTATTTTACCAAAAGTTATTTCCAGTAAGATAATGTTAGTTCTAATATATATATCTTTAAGTTGATTATGCTGCTGTTTAAATAATTTTATTACAAACTTCACTGAAAATGTTTAATCAAATGGCACATTCTGCTTTTAAAAGAATCCTATGAAAATGGCAGTTGCAGAATTTTCTTTCATGTCTTTCTATTTGGTAGCTATGTTTACCTAGCAATAGTCACATTTAAAGTTATGCAATTGTTGTTATGAACCATATTTCCATCAGTTTCAGTGGACCTAGGTTTTCAGTGAAGCTGTATACACTAAATGTGCATGCACATATATGAACTGTAACATCACTGGACTTTTTGGCAACTAGGGTAGAGCCAATAGTAAGGTTAAATTTCATGTATTATCATCTAAATATAATTTTATTTTAATTATTATAATTTCATAGAATCTTTTTTATAAAATTGTTTTTTCCTCTTAATAGTTTACTGTGATAATTGAATAAGTCTGTTCTCATGAAAATGAATACATATGATGCTACATAAAATATTAATGAATGGATAGAAATAAGTATGTCATCTATACTTTGGACTGATCTTATATTATACAGATGGTCCTACTCCGGCATTGTAACAACATTTTCCACTATGAATAAAACACATTAGTTGTTCAGCTTTTAATATAAGCACTTGATTTGGTACAATTTATTCTGACTGAATTCAGAATGTCTTCACCAAGAATGAATGTATATGAATGTATATGTGCCACCTGTGTTGTGATAAACTAGTCCAATAAAGTCAGTGTGCCTATTTTTTGGTATGTGCTCTTCCAGAACTTCAGGTTTTAGCAGGTAACATTGAATATGAAGTTCATAAAAGTTTAGATGACCAATGTATTTTTTAAATCACAAGAATGACAAAGTAATTGTTGAAAAATGCTGAAAATCAAAGAAATCAACAAATCAAAAAAAAAAAAAAAGGAAAATGTTGGGCAAATATTATTTTCAGGAGTTTTTAAATCTCCTTATTTCAGTATTAAATACTGAGCCTATAGTGCTCTGCATTTGTCCTTTTGCAATATCTAATTGTGAGTTTTCAGAAGGATTTTTTTAAACTCCTCTGAGTACACTATCATTTTGTCTAATTGTTCCTTATGTTAAATTACACAATATAAGCATCTTTAGAATATTAAAATGGTGCTATTGTTGGGCTCTTGGAATCTTTGACTGGTATATCATTAAAATCTTGGTGGCTTTCTGCTGAGTACAAACTGGTAAAAGATTGTTGTAACTATTTCAAAATTAAAGCAAATACTACATATTTCATTTTACGATACATTCTGATGCACTATTTCTGTGAAATAAACTATTCAGGTCCATTGTCAATCAAATTCAATAAGACTGAGTTTGTGTGCATGGTATTCATTTGAACTAAATCCCTAACAAGCCTCATCTGCTAATTGGAATTAACATTTATGTTGCTAAATGAGAAGCATTTTGGCTGCAGTATAAGGTGGTAAGACCTACCCAATGGAATAAACAACTAACATCTGTTATCTTGTCCTGCTCCAGCTTGGCTTTTACTAGTAAAGTGCATCAGTTTCAGGGTCAAGGTTATGGAATTTGTGGTTCCCTGGCTGTGGTAGGAAGGGAAGAAACAACAGCATAAAGACCAGCCAAATAGAAGTTGTACAGTGCATATGCTTTATTTTGCTTTAACCTTTGCAAGTCCTACAAAACTGATACAAGTCAAAACATGATATTCTGTGGAATTTTTCAATAGAATATGCATAGAAATTGATTCTGACAGCCATTATAGCCAATCAAATGTACCCACAAAATGAAAGAATATCTCTGCATTTTTCTACATATAGCACAAGTACTATTAATGGTGGCAGGGTAACACTGTTGCTACTGTTTATTACACCCCTTTTCTTTTCCTTTGCAAGATAAATACCACCAGCCAGTCTCTCATCTCTTTTTATTTTTAGGATTGTTTGGACTTTGTAACCAATAAATGCAGCCCCCACAATTGCAATTTGAACAATACATAATGAATATTATATTTTGTAAAGTTAAACTATAACAGTATATAGTATAGCATGTTGCTCTCAATTGCATATTGAATACAACTATTCCTATTATTTCTATATTTGGAAAGCAGACTCTGACATCCAACCTGACTGAGCTGCAACGAGGAAAATCAGATTTGCAAGGAAAATTGGACCACCTGATCCAGTTGACCAAGGGGAGAGAAGGCCTATCTCCTCTAGCATCTGGCTATACTGGAATGGCACCAGCTACTCCTGTCAAGACTGTAGATTTGGAAATGAAGCAGCTACAGTGTAAACTGAAGGTGACCATTTGTACTATAGTACAGTTAGTAAATAGGCATTTTATTTATGATAGAGGATCTCAGGCATCCAGTGATTGAAAAGTGGGTGAAAATTAAATACATCTTGAGGTATGAGATAACTTGGCTAAATGATGTTTAACAATTACAATTCAGTAACTAAATGTTAATATTCAAACAAAAGTATATTATAAAATTCAAATTCATTAATATCTGGTTTGTCGAAAGTGTTTTAAGACCAGCTGTAAGATTCTAGTTTCTATAGAATAAGTAGTCAAAGAGTATTGATTTTTCTAAAAATAAAGAATGCTTTATTTATTGAATATGCTATGAATGAAGAAGCATATACATTCTCATTACTGCTGTCTCTGCGACAAATTTGTCCTCAGTTTGACAATAATCAAATAGCTTTTGTTCAAGAAAAAAGGCTGTGAGATGGCATATTATTTGCAATCTTTTAAGGCAAGTAAAAAGTTAAGTGGACACTTCCTTGTGAGGAAGCCAGATACTGAGAGCTGAGAATTTGGAGGGAGAGACAGAAACAAAGAAGAAAATAGTCACTGGACAGGAAAGAGTTGACAGAAGAACACAGGGAAATGAAGGAAAAAGATCTGTGTGTGTGTAGATATAGATATAAACCTTAAATAAACACTGGTAAGGATTGTGAAAAAATAAACAACCACTTTGTAAGTAACCACAAAGTTCTCTCTCTCTAAGTAGAGTCCATTTATATCCATATTTGTGTTGGTACACAGTTTCATTTAAAAAAAGTATTAATTTATAAATCCCTGAATAAATGAGACATAGCTATAATAACCCCCATATTACACACACCTAAGGTACTGTACTGCCAGAAGAAGAGCTGATAAAGAGCATGGATAACATTAGTATAAAGATTTTTATCATTTTGCATTGGTGGCAAGGAGATTTTAAAATGTATTTATTCCCAAAATCAAATTAGAAGGAGTTATGCTATTTCTCTTCAGATAAAACCAATATTGCCACAGAGGCTCTATATTTTATTTTCTCCACATCTGTTTTGCCACCACCACTCCCAGGAAACTATAATTCCTGGAACAGATGTGTGCAAAATTATGTCTAGAATTTCAAAGAATGTCTCAGATCAAATCAATACTTGTAAAAATCAATGTAGTTTTATTTCCTTAAATTGCAATCCTGTGGTTCATAGGGCAGTGTCCCAGAAGGGTTATAAGAGTGGAAAGAAGTGCATCCTTTGAGGGTGTATTATTTGGTCCTAGATATATCATCTGAGCCAGTACAGAAACTCCACCAGCATGTCTTCTCTTATAGCAGAACTCCAATATCAGAAAAAATAAACAGTAGATGTGTCAAGGTCAAGTTAGGGATGTCCAAAGTTATTGTTAAACTTCCAGCTATTCTATGCCAGTCTTGGATGGAATATCTAAATCAATCAAAAATGTCCTTGGGAGAAAGGTGGAAGTGCATTTTTTTCTGTCTCTGTTCTGCCGTGCTACAATATTGCTAAGGCCTTGGATTTGTTGGAGGCCTTGACATTACAACTTAAAATAGGATTGTTCTGCTTGTCCTTTATTTCTTGAAGTCCATACAATGTGTTGGTTAATCTCACTGGAAAAGCTGACGACATCAAAAGGAACAAACAGAGCATGTTCCTGTAAAGGAATAGATTTCATTGCATTTGAGAATGGTTTAACAGTGATGACTAGTGAGGAGTGCCTTTGCACAATTATACCAAGTATGCCAGATGCTACTTTTCCTGAGCTGTTCAGATGAGGCAACAGTTATCCACGCCGTGGCTACTTTCTGTCCTGACTAGTACAACACTTTCTACATGCGGTACGTTTGAAAGGTGTCCATAAGTTTTAGTTGATGCAAATTAGCTAGACTGCTAACTAATATAGGATGGAAGGAGGCATATGATACCTATGCTGAAAGATCTGCATTTGGTTCCCAATTGTTTACTGGGCCCAATTAATGTGTTGATATTGGTTTAGGGTCTGACTATCTAAGCAAACGGTCCTTTTACAAAGAGATTCATATGCTAAGATTTGCAGGAAAGCCCCTTTTGAAGATGCCTCTGCTGTCAGAAGTTCATCTTTCTGGCATGTAGGGGAAGGCTCCCAGGCTATGAAATGTATTACCTTGAGAATTCCTCTTGACTTCCACTCTGTCAGGTTTTAGTAGGTCTGTAAAGACACCTCTCTTTTGCCAAATTTTTAATTGTTGACTGATCTTAACATCTATTTTATTGTTAATTTTAGTCTGTGTTTTTAAAATTTTTATATTCTTTTCTGGCTCTTTAAATTTTGCTACTTGTCTTGAGTATTTGTCAGAATAGGAAGGCAGGGTATAAATCAAATAAATGTAAATTAAAATCTTAAAGGTCACATTGTTAGCACCTGAAGTTGTATATATGTGGAAATGGATATACAGGTAGTCTTCACTTACAACGGTAATTGGGACCAAGAACTCCATCGGTAAGCAACACAGTCGTAAGACACAATGACTGCACTGACTTATGATGGCAATTACAGCAGTCCCAGTTGCCATTGTTAGGCAAATCCCATGCAGCCACAGTGTCCCATGGTCATGTGATCACTATTTGCAATCTCTTGCCGACTTCCTCATTGACTTTGCTTGCCGGAAGCTGGCAGTGAAGTTTGCAAATGGCAATCATGTGACTGTGGGATACTGTGATGTCATAATTGTGAGCCAGTTGCTGAACACCCAAATTGCAATGATGTGACTGCGGGGACGCTGCAGTGGCCGCAATTACAAGGACCTTCATTCAGCACCATTGTAACTTCAAATGGTCGCTGAACTAGTGTACCTTAAACGAGGACTACATGTATTGTCTGAACACTAAGCAAATGTTGATTGGGCAAAGATTGGATTGAATATTAAGATTTGATCATTCAGAAAATAGGATAAAGCTTAGATCCAGCCTTTTTTTTTCTGATAAAAATTCTGGTTTTCTGCAAAACCAACATCCATTAAAACAAGGGTTTACTGTATCCTCCAAGCTGGAAGGTTCTGTGTATTTTGAAAAGGGTAACTTTTGTGAAGCCTTCACCTATGAGGACACCTAAGCTTGTGTTTTGTGGTTAACAATATATATTTCAATGCAGTAGCAGGATGGGAGAAAATGGACTATGATCTATTGGTCATATTATGATTATTAATACTAGGTTGGATTCAGTTTAATCATATTTAGTGTAAACACATTGAAATCAATAAGATTTAAATAACAGTGTTTCTAGATGGCAGTTTTACCAGGAAAAAAGATTTGTGCAGTTTTCCATCTTTTGTTTTTTCAAAGGATTTTCTGTGTTAAAGAAAAAGATGGAAAAACACAGGAGTGTGACAAATAGAAAAAGATCCTATATAGGCACCTCCACTGTAATTTTTTTTAATCAAGTGAATCAATTGTAGAATAAGTTATTATCATTTTTTTCAAGGGCCTATTTTAGATAGATCTAAATTAGGATCCAACCCAATGGCTTTTACAGCTATATGTTGAGATAAGAATTATATACATACATACATACATTTATTTGCAACCATAGGTTTTAGAAAAATTCATTTAAAATTACAGTGATCCATATCAATTCAGTCCATCCCCTCTAGTATTTACACTAGAGTCTAGTCTTTAGGGCCCCATTGTATGTTTACAACAGAGCCGGTTGAAACTAGACTAAACCTAGCCAAAGAACTTGCTCTTCTGGATCAACAAACTCACACGTTGTCAATAAATTATACTCCCACAGAGATAAGAATTTATTTTGTATTATCATCGCTGCTAATTCCAGTAGCAATTGCTAAGTATTAAAAATATTTACATTTAACCTAAAATTTGAAATGGTCTATCCTCAGGGAAATAAATTCCTATTGTTTTGCATTGAAATTGCTAGAGCTTCAACTCTGTTGTTTTACTTTTATTTGGAATCTTATTGGATTCTAATTCTTTGCACTGTATATTTAGCATTTATCCACAAGTGCTATGGATGATGAATAGTTGGACATCTTAGTTGATTGCTCAATCTGTCCTTTATTGGTCACTGAATTTTGTTCAGTTGAGAATTTTGTACAGTTGGAAAGCAAAAGTTACATAATACAAAAAGAGAGAGAAAAGAATTAATGAATATATAGAAATTGAGATAAGTTGAGCCAGAATCAGATAAAATCCCTTATTATAGTCACTGACCAGCATCTTGTAGAACTTTGTATCAAAGATGATAAAATGCAAAGAGAGATTAAGAGGCGAAAAAAGAACTTACTAAATGAGTAATAAAAAATAATATGAATGAAGACATTACAATATTAACAAGAAAAAATAAGACTACAAAACTAGTCTTAGTAATGAACTAAAACAAAAAATATATTTACTTAATTTTAAAACACTAAAGTACTCGTCTATTAACACATAAAGTATTAGAATACCACTGAGCCAGAATACAGTATGCATGCACATATTACAGTATTAAGATGCTGGAAAAAATGAAAAGCTAACATTTAGTAATTAAATTCTGAAAATAATCATTCAAATACTAGTATTACAATGTTAAAATACTATAGAGAGAGCATTTACTGCAATTCTGTGCAGTACTGCCTTATCTGGCCGACTGCCAACTAAAGTTTGGCATTTGCCATATAATATTGGGGTCACAATCCTCAAGTAATATCTGACATAAATTAAATAGAATTTTCAGGAAGTTTGGAGAGAATCATGTTCTTATAGATGTCTCTGTAAAACATAAGTACAGTATAAAAAGATGCATGACATAGATTCCACCACTCTTATTTCACAGAATTGCTGATGAAAGAATATTGAAATATACAATGCTGAACACTGTGCAGTATTTCAAAAAAGTGAGCTTTTGATATCATCCCACTTTCTTGTGAATTAGGTCTGATTCTCAGCTATGATATTTACAGAAATTGTGTGCAATCCAACTGCCAATCTCTGTCAACGAGCCTCTATCTCAGTGTAATCTTTGCTTGTTTGCATCACATTCTTGACAGCGTTAGCAATGAAACTCCACGGTGGAGTATTTTCCTCAGGACTCCTTGATCCAAACAGGGTGGACTGCTAGTGATCTGTCAATATTAAAGGATCCAAGCTTGATCTGTGGAAGAAGTCAGCTTAGGCCAGTAGTTTAAGAATGGTTAACTAGACCCTGGTCTTTTCTTCATTAGAAGAAAAAACTCAGACTCCTATATAACAAGGAACTTGGAGGACTTTCCTCAGGAACTTAGACTGAATGACCTCCAGAACAGAAGGCAAACATGAGTTTAAAACTTATCCTTCACAGAATTATGATAACCCCGTTTTAGTTTTAGTTTAGTTTTAGTTGAACACTGGAACGTAATTCAGTGCCCCAATATTTTTTCCAAAATCAGCTTATATCCATGATATCTGTTTATGAAATCTATTCATGAAATTGATTTGCTTATCAAAACAAGTACATGGGTATATCTAGGAACTTTCTTTACATAATTAATAAAGAAAACACAAAATGAAGATGCTTTTTTTTTCAATTTCCTAACTAGGGTTATTAAGAAATCAACAGTTGTTCTATATCTGTCTGTCTGTCTGTCTGTCTGTCTGTCTGTCAGCATGTTGCCTCAAATTTTATCCAACAACTTTGGTAGAAAGAATTAAACCTATACTCTAACCCTAAAAACATAAGTACTTGATTAATTGGTTATGACACATCAAACTGTCTGGGAAACTATTTCAAACTCCTACAAAGTTAAGTATAAATAAGCCAAGATTGTACCATATTAATGGGTTTTTTTTTCTCCCAAATTCTAGCCACACTAGAAGTGGTTTTTGAGAACAGGCTTCCTGCTTTCACATTTACCCAATCATTGCTGGAAGAGATTTGCTTCATTTCCTTTCCCATTCATAGCAGTGTTATTTTCCATAGGAAATGGTGATTTTTTTTTCATTGAACATAAGAACTTAAGTGTTGTTATAACAAGCACTGCAGTGTAACTCGTTGCAGAAGCCCACTTGAAGTAAGTGTCCATATTTACTTAAAGTATGTAAAGTCCTTTAATGGGGTGTTGGCATTTCCCCGTTAATGAATGTCAGCAGCAAAAGCAAACCTAGAAACTTCAGTGATTATTATGCCATCATTTGTTATTTTAACTAGTTTCCTATTAAATTTCATATATTTAAAGATTGGTGACGTATCTATTGGAATAATTCTGGCATCATAGTCATGCTTTGACCACATGAAAATATTTCATTCTGTTCTGAAATGTATAGTACAGTTCCTCTGTCCTGAAAAAACTATTTCTTACTCAAAGAAAGCTCCTTTTGAAGTACAACACAAGAATTATGGCTTGTATTCTTTTTGTATGTCAGAAATATAAGCTATCCATTACTCTCCATACCTTACATTAAGACTATGTTCATAAACGTTTAGACATATAGACTGGATTTTTAAAACAAAGGAAAGAAAATAGATACAGATTAAAATTCCTTCTGCGCTTTATCAAATTGCATTTGAAGTCTTTGTGAGGCAATTTGTATTGCATTATGTGTATGTTTAAAGAAGGTGATAAGCATTTTAAAGTAAATGTAAAAATGGCAACACACTGCAAGTATTCAGAATTACTGACATTTAATTTGTGGAATAGTCAATATTTTATCTTGAAGCTCTAATGAAGACTGTATAGCATTGCATAAAAACTTATATAGTATTTTAGAAACCGTATCTTACACGTAGCACTTCACATTAAAATCTATACTTGCATAGAGAAAATATTGTTACCTACAACACCCTAAGTAATGTTAATGGGAATTAAAAGCCTGCTATTCATAGAAAATATTCTTAATGTATTTTAGATTTTGATCTCTTCACTCAGCTTTGATCTATTGTATAACTTCCCAAAGACCAAACAATGATTAAAACAGGTCTATTCTTACAGTAAACTCATCTTTTTCTACGCACTGAAAACTGTGTGTTTCTGTGTGTGTGCAGGTAAGTATAGCTGGACAATGCCATTTATTCAGAACTCTTCTGAAGTGCACTTAATTTACACAATTTCATATGACCTCTTGATTGCTATTTAGCTATTGCTAACTAATAATGCAGATGATTTGAAATTACTGAATTTGTGTGTGTGTGAGAGAGAGAGAGAGAGAGAGAGATTATTCCCCCCATCCCTTGTCATAACTGACTAAAGTACATGTAATCCTTTGAGAAACTTTGCGCCTTGAGATTTTCCTGAATAGCATCTACAAAGACAGGGATTTTTTAGGACAGCAGCTTTATGTATGCTGTTTGAATTTCAACATTTGTGAGGATCCTAGTACTGTAGAAGCTTTAGAAATGTATCTTTGGAAGCAAACAGAACTCAAAGAAAGTACTATAAATGATCATGTTCAACTGTCTGTATGGAGGTGAAATGACAAGGAACAGCAGACAAACTCAGATCAAACCATTAAATCATAACTAGGAGTGCATGCCATATCAAGCCACTTTCTAAATGCTGGCTTGGCATTCTATGTGAATCCTGCCAGTGTAGTTTATATGCCATAGTTTATGAAATGAAGTATGAATCCAGCAAACTGTGGCTTATTCAATCATGCTAATTAAATAACTGTGTTAAATAAATTATAGCTTAGCACAATTTGAGATTAGTGTTTGTGTATTATAAAATCCTGAAACTGACAATAATAAGAGAAAATTTCAATCTTTTGAATGCAATCTTACAGATTTCTAATTAGGAAAAAAATTAAAGGAAGTTCAACCAAGTATGAACTTTCCCAATCTAGTGTTGGGCTACAGTTTCCATATTTACCAGCAGCATCTGAAAGCACCTGTTTGGGAGAAATCAGCCCTAGACATTTTAATCCTCAAACTCATTTTGTTAGGTATCGTAGGTAGAACTCTGGCAGAGATATTCCATTTGGAAAATAAGATGAAATTTATTTCTCTGTAGGCTAGTCTTGAATAAGTATAAAATCATCACAGTCAAACATTAGCAACCTAAGTACAAGCACATTAGAGGTATCTTTGTGCTATGCTAAAATCGAAATAGATTAAACTGTTAAATAGCAAAGTTTCAGTTTGAAACACAAGTGTGATCAGTTACAGTTCTGGGTAATCCTACATCAACACTGCTGAGACTTTAATAAAATATTTTATTCATTCTAGAATGCAAACAATGAAATCACTAAACATTCATCAGCCATTAAATCTTTGAAATATGAAGTCCAAAGAAAAGAAGAACAGATGCAGGAACTGCAAGAAAAGTAGGTTCACCTTACCTATTGGTTGTGTCTGGCTCCCCCTTGTGGCAAACATGTAATTGCTTTAACTTCATGGACCTTTTTCTGAAAGTGATCTTTCCATATTTTTTTTCCTTTGGCTTTTTATGCGTGGTTCAGATTATTTACGCTTTTAGGAGAAACGTATTAATGCATTTTTCCTTTTAAATTGCTGAGTAATTTACAGTACATAAGATGAGATATAACTGTAATAAATATATATATATTTTTAAATCAGATTCTAGTGTGGACTTGATTATATCCATGATGCAAATCTAAATGAATACCTCAGTATACTTGAAAGCAGTTTTTCAAATACAGTGATGCTTTGCCTAAGGGCTAAGAGACATGTCAAGGTTTAGATGCTTAAATTGGATTAAATGTCCAGTTTTACATTTTCTGATAAATGCAAAAAAAGCAGTTAATATTATTTATTTTTGAGTTTATTAAAATGTACATATTTGCAAATTGGTTGCTTAGTTAAATATTTAAAAAATACCAACTTGTGAGTGGAGCTACTAATAATGTTTAATATTGAGTAATAAAAATTATTTCATTAAAATGTTTCTTATTTAAAAGGCTTTAACAAAATGCATATTTTATTGATTAATGCCTTAAGGAACACCTTAGGAACCCAGCTGGAGATTGGACTTAGCATTCTGATATGCCTATGTCCTACCACTATATTACATAGTAAATACTGAATATGCTTCAGTATATTCTTGACTGCCCCCATAAGCTAGATGTGTCCATTGAAATATAAATTCTTTTCATCAGCTTTTATTCTGCTTTTTGCTTGTTCTATGTGGTGCCTTAATGATATAAAAACTAATGTATTCTGTATAAGCATCATATTGACTCATTTTATTTGGATAGCATGTTGTTGCCACAAGAAACAAGTAACAGAGCCACAAGCACAGATTTCTGTCTTATATGTCACCCAGTGAACAGTTTCTTATTTCTTTCCTACAGATTTGCTATTTAGAAGTAGTACATTTTTGGAAAGTCACATTTTCATCTTTGAAATTGGTCTATTGATTTTCCATACCACAGCTGCATTTTACTTTTGAAAACTACCTCTTATATTGATACAAAGCTTTTTACGTACTAAATAGTTCAGAATCATGACAGCCAATTCACATGGTGACACTTAAAAAAAAGTTATAATTAATTTTAATTTATATTTCCTTTCTATGCCTGCCTGTATTGAAATAGTAGTAGAATATTTTGCTTCTCCTTTGTTTATAATTATATCTTCATCACAGTATAGTTATCTGTAAATTACTGTGCATTTTTATTGTTCTGAATTGCTACTATAAAATGTGATACTTAAGATTCAGAAGCCCACAGAGTTTAAATCTACCTTTTATGCCCTTATACAAAGAGAAAACTTCAGCTAATTTCAACACTTTTCAGCTGACAAATGGCACAAAGATAAGCTATCACTGGAATTGTGCATTATAATTATTAAAAATAATGACATGCTAATAATGTTCCATAATTCTATGGATTTTTCATTTTCTCCTTATTTCAAGGATTTCTAGAATGGAGAGAGATTTAAGTATGAAAAGACAGTTAATAGAAGATTGGAGGTTGCGTATGAAAACATATCAGGAAAAGGAGAAAAGCTTTAATGAAATGTTGCAAGGTCTGGAAGGAAAGGTATTTAATGTTTAGTGTGTATTTTAAATCAAGAAATTGAATTTGACACACATGTACCTCCCATTCAGTAAATGAAATGACACACTTACACTGTTTTGAACATGCATATCCCTCTTGAAATTCCATCAGATTTATTGATTAATTATAGTAGCCATCATTATGATTACTACAGTTCCATTTGTACAGAGATAGCTCTTAAAGCAGTCAAATAACTTAATGTGAGAATTAAGTGCTTGCTGGTATTTTGGGTATGTTGTTCAGTGGGAATTTCACATATCTGATTGTTCTCTGAAAGGAAACATCAAAGAAGATTCTTCTTGCAGTGTAAGTCAAGAAGCAAACGTCATAAAGGGGGGGAAATGACCTATAACTTAGCTTTATAATAATAGTAATGTGTTATCCCTTCCTTTATTATATATTTAATTATTCAATTTTATGCTCTTCTGAAAGTTGTTTTCTCCATAAATATTTAATGCATTTTTCTGATGCTTAAACAGATTAGAAGAGAACCCACCCATTAGTATCTCTGCAATGTGTTTTATCCCTATTTTACAGCAAACAGGTCACATGTGTAGGAATCTCTTAGGCTGCAAATCATAAAATCCAGGAAACATACTTTTCAAGGCAAGCACTACTTTGATTCTTTTTAAAAGCAGGTGCTAGTTTTTAAGGTGTGAATGTAGTTTCTGCTAGCAGTCATAACGTTGTTAGTTCCAGACAAAACTATCTTGCTCTCTGTATATGAGATATCCCTTAGATGTCATCAGCCCAAGAGACAAAAGTAGTAGGGTAGGAAAAATTTCAGACAACACAAAAGTGGTACAGGATAAATTCTTAGAGGGAGGTAGTATGAAAAACCATTTTAGAGACCTATGTTACACTTTGCTGTGGAATGGTGTTTTAAGTATTAAAAATGTTGCAATTTTCTGGTTATATTGGGTTGGGGAAAAAATCAAGTGTATTATATACAAAAATATAATCTCTTTAGATATGCTTTATAAATTGATTCTGTTTTTTTATAGATTTGTTTTACAAATAACAACTAGCTATGAACTGTAGGACTGTATTATTTGTAATTTTTCTCATCAGTACTAGTATGCTAACATGCTCACAAGTTCCAGACTTTTTAAGTACTAGCATCTGGCTACTTGATTTGATAGTAAGTAAAATGTTGCAGTCACATGCCCAGTTATCTACGAATAAATCCTATGGATTTCAATGGATAGTATCCATGTTTGAACAGGAGCCAAGATAGCCTGCATTTTACTCAAAAGGTAAAAGAATTATGTAAAGTTAGATGTGTGTATTGTTTTGATAGTTTTGGTTTTTCATCTAAATGATTTTAATGCTTTCCTTAATAGTTTTTCTCTGGGTACGGTTCCAGGTAAAGGCATTAACTGATGATTGTTCAAACAAAAAAATATCCATGGATTCACTAAAGCAAAGGCTTAATGTAGTTACCAAAGAAAAGGCACAGTATGAACAGATGTATCGCAGAGCTAAAGAAGAGTTGGAGAAAAAGGTACACGATTATAGATATTATGGAAGATTAAGAAGGTGATGATGATTTATTAGATTTACACCCTGCCTTTTGGTTCAGCAGGGATACTTGTACCCAATAACAATGAGGTAAAATACAAAAAATATGAAAGAAAACACAGTTAAGAAACAATTTAAAATATATGCTAATAAAATCATTATTATAATATTTATTATCCACCTTATATTTTCTAGTGCACACTATTTTTTACAAATAAATAATTGCATGATCAATGCCTTTGCATTTTTAATTTTCCCATAGTAGCATTTCTTTTGAGTTATAATATATGGCTGTAATATCAGAAGAAATTTCTGAAGTTGAATTACGTTAATTGTAATGGAATATTGTATGCTTTTAACTAAGGTGAAATATAATTTTCTAAAAGACTGTTTTATAGTAGCACTTCCTCTCCACCCTAAATTTAATGCAGCCTTTTCAGACAAATATTTTCTATATCATTTGAGAAACCAGGAAGCAAGCCTCTGGTGAACTTTGATTTCTTCTCCCACTGTCCATTTTTGTTAGGCAAAGTGCTTAAAGAATTGACATCATGCCAGGATATTCAACATTTTGGGGTTTTCTTTTCTGTTTCTAGATATAAGCAAAAGTTTGAAAGAGATCTCAGTGTTGCACTTAATTATGCCTAACAATGCACCTAAAAAGAAAGTTTGGATAAATTCTATTGTCATAGGGTCTAATCCTATATTATATGTCTTTCTCTGGATTTTACAAATTCTCAGCCTGGAGATTCTAAGCAGTTCTGTCTGGTTGAGCACAAACCTGTCTCAGTTTCTCCTACAGCTTCAATACAGGAAGCAGCAGCTTTTTAGAGCCTAGGTACTCAAGTCTAATAAACACTCAACAGTGGACAGTTTACAAAGGAAGCAGTGTGCAGACTTGAACAAGATACGACATACAGGCACATTATTTCCCCTGAGTTTTAAACAACAGATGGTCTTAGTGTGTTTTATATCTAACTGGAAGAATGGGCAGGAAGGAAGACTATAGGAGATGGCAATGAGTGTTATAGTTAATTTTATGTAGGATCTTCTAGACGCTGTCAATTTCTTTTCAGTTCAGAAATGCTAGAAAACAGAAAAAAAGATAGAATGGCAGAAATAGAAGAAATTTGTGTACTTTCCAATGTTTAATCCCCATCTTCAATCTGCCTAAATCACAGTTTCCACATTCTCCACATGTGTTGAGAATATGATTCCCAGAATTCCCAGTCACCTGGAAAGTGCTATATGGGAAAAGTTGACATAAATTAGTGGGAATATAGACTTATTATGTATCCAACCAACTGGTAATTTGTATGACCACGTGATTTGCTTAGCAAATTCATTAGTATGCTTAGCAATTACCAATATGATTTGTGTGTGGTTTTGTTTCAGGAGCTTATGCTTGCCAATCTAGAAACTAAAATGACAGAGGCAGAATATGCCATGACTGAACTTGAAACAACTGCCTCTCAGGAGCTTCACCGCTTAGCAAGGCAAAGTGAGCAGGCACTTGAAGTGGTACAGAAAAAGTTGATCATGTCCAATGAAAAAGTGGAAGAATTCATGACCTTTGTGAAGGTTTGGCATTTTAAATATGTGTGTCCCTGTGTGTGTTTGAATATACAAGTAGTCCTTGCTGAACAACCACAATAGGGACCGGAAAATTCGTTGTTAAGTGGGGCAGTCATTAAGCAAAACACGTGACTACACCCAGTTTTGTGACTTTTTGCGGTGGTCATTAAGTGAATCACACAGTTGTTAAACAAATCACACAGTTCCCTATTGATTTTGCTTCCTGGAAGCCGGCTGGGAAGGTCACAAATGGTGATCACGTGACCCCAGGATGCTGCAACCATCGTAAGTGCGAGTTGGTTGCCAAGTGCCCAGATTGCAATCACGTAACCGCAGGGCCGCTGTGACAGTTGTAAGTGCAAGGACCTGTCATAAGTAGCTTTTAGCACTCCTGTAACTCTGAACAGTTGCTAAACAGTCATTAAGTGAGGACTGCCCCTCCCTCCCTCTCTCTCTCTCTCTATATATATATATGAATGTATATGTATATTACTTAATTAACATTCCCTGGAATATTCCATTTTTCAGCCAGAACATGCTGATCCAGCAACTATTTTGGAGGAGGAAAGACTATTGTTTTCCACATTTTGCATAAAACTTTATATATGCAGTGAGGTGTTTGGCTATTTATACCACCCAACACCTAACCTCCAAATGCCCCTTTATTCCCAAGGAGTCCAGTTGGCAGCCTTGCACACCTGTTTCATTCAGCTTGTTGGGATCGTACATGATGCCTTTTTACCATGGCTCTGATTTCACTAATGTGGATAAAATTGGTTGTGGTTCAGGCTGTAACCTAGAGATTAGGGGGAGAGTCATCAACCACTGTTTCTGGGTGTTTAACATCCTCTTTTGAATCCAAGCTGGATATTACATACACCCTTTTAATGCAATAGTTAGGGAATTCATAATGCCCTTTGAGCATATAAAGATAAATGTCCTTTGTGTCAGAGACTCAAAACTTCCCCTTGGAACAGTGGATCAAGGAGGGAATTTGGGCATATCCTGGTACTAATGAAACAATTTGCAATTGCTTGTTTGTTCATTGAAGATCCAGTTTAGGACTGCCACTGCCAAGACACTTGTGTAAGAACAACAGAACCTGAGTTTGGCGGGGGGGGGAGGGTAATGACATTATTCAAGGAATAAGGTATAATTGAGTCAGTTTAAGAACCACTGTCTTGGATGTTTTAAATGTTGTGATTACATAATTCAAAAACTATTCTAATTATGCTTATATTTATCTTTGGAGACTCCCAATTTTCTTATAGCAGTATTTGCATTTACAAAAATGTCTGTGTTGTTGAAGAACAATCCTCCTTCCTCCACCTTTTTTATTCCATTGTGTCAATTTTTGCATAATCACTGATTTATTTAATTACAATACATTATCTTGCTCTTGTTTTCAAATAACTTTATTTATCCCCAGATACATAATCATAAAATGAAATCTGATTGTAAATTTTACATATATCATCATATTATAATATAGATTACATTGTAGGCAAATGAATGGTAGACATTGAAATTATCTCTACTGGCTATATTCTTAAAAGGGCAAGTTATTATCTATCCATGTGATGCTATTCAAGATGTATGCTTAATTCAATTTATTGAACTAAATTTAGTTAAATACTTTTTGTTATTTGGATAGTAAAGGAGAGTTATTTTGTTGCTGCTATTTGTGAAACAGCTGGGAGTCAGATCTCTGGGTGACTTGCTCTCTGCCATTATACTGATACCAATCTCTGTCCTTTGTTGATCTAAAAGACTCAGCAGAAAGGGAGATAAAAGCAAACGTAAGCACTACAAAACAGTGCTGCGCTCTTGCTCTCTCTCTCTCTCATGGCCTCAAGAGTGAGGAAAGGGGCTTTCAGCTGGAGTTGTATCTAGATACTTCTGAAGATGATTGGCTGTTGGTTCCTCTTCCTCTGTAATTTAGCTAAAGAGAGATTTTCTGAGCAGCAAGATAAGAGATTCCACTTGGTGAGTCAACATTCTTTCTGGTTTAAAAAGGAAAAAAGGGGGGTTTCAAAGATTTAAAAACTTTTCACAAAAAGCTTAACAAGGAGTGGATGTAAGAAAGTTTAAAATGAATAAAGGGGATAGTAATTTTGAAAGATTATTTTTGGATGAAAGTGCTTTTGAACAAATTGGAATTAAAGTAGACAAACAGACCAGACCTTCATGGAAATGTTTTTTGTTTACTACTAAAGAGGCAGACAATTGGTGGATTTTATGAAACAAAAGATAAAGATGATGAGCCAGACTGTGATGCTGACTGTAACTATAGAGACGTTGACTGTGATGCTAACTGTAACTACGGAAGGCCATTTGAGACAAAACAGGAAAAAAAGGGGAAGCTTGCCTTTTACTCTTTCTCTTCAAATGAAACACTTCCATTTTTGGATTATAATATTACAATGGCAACCACCAGAAAAACAGCAGAGGGGAGAAGAGGATAGCTAGAGCAACCTGCAGAGAGAGGAATTACACCGGAGTTGCTTCAGAAAATGTTTGAGGAATTGGGCAGTAAGTTAGCTAAATCACTCGATACTAAATTAACTAAATCAGGTGATACTAAATTGATAGCTTTTGAAAAAAAAAAAAAGGATGAAAAACTTGTAAAGATGAAAGAGGAGATGAAAGAAGATGTTAAGAAGATGGAAAGCTCTGTAAAACAAGTGACTGGAAATGTTAAATAAATTAATGACAAAGTGGAAATTCTGGAGAGTAAGACAGAAGTTATAGACAGTGAGCTGGAAAGAGACTTGGATAATTTGGCACTACTGGAACAGAAATAGAAGGAATTTTGTTTCATATTTAGAGCAATACCAGAGGATTCTTTTGAAGATATTAGAGAAAAGGTTATTAAAGCTTTAGCAATTTTTTTGGAATGGGATAAGGAGGATATAGAGGAGAAACTGATAAAGTATATAGAATAAATACAAGATTTGTGAGAATGTTGCAAGGGATGTCTTGGTCCACTTTGTCAGGAAGAAGACGAGATAAAGTTTTGCAGCAGCATTTTAATACAGGACTGAAGATTGATAATACAGATGTAATTGTTCTTAAAGAAATTCCTGTTAGCATTTTGCATAAGAGAAAAGAGTATTCTTTTTTGACTGATAGATTAAAACAGAAAAAGATTTAATTTTGGTGGAACAAATTGGAAGGTATGATTTTTACTTTTAAACAGTAGAGGTTTTGACTGAATTCTGTCCAGGAGGCAAGGGGATTTCTAGAAAAATTTAGCCAGGTGATCAGCTAGTCAGTAGAAAAAATAAGCAGGGCTCCCCATAGATCAAGGCAATATCTAGTAACAAAGGGCTAAATGAAGTCCATAGGATCTGTGTTGCCCATTAATTGGGCTTTTATGTTGTTGTAACTTTGTATTGTGAAAAATGTTTTGAAACTGAAACAGCTGATTTGATTTTGTAGAGGGCTGTCCCAACTTTTCCAAAAGTGTTATGAGCTGCAAAATCCCATTTTGAACTCAAAACAGAGCTGTTTCATGCTTGAGACACTTCAAGCCCATTTTGGACTTGAAACAACTTTCAGACTTGAAGAATGGTATTTTTAGCTTAAAACGTTTCAAATTCAAAATGGTTTAGCCAGTGCTAGTTTATATCTTACATTGCATTTCCTTCTGAACTTATTTTGCAGAAGATAATATTTCTTGCATCTGAAAAAAATGAAATCTATACAAGCTTTGTTACAATAAATTGCAAGTCTTTAAAGTATCACGGCATTTGTTTCCATTGTTTCTTATCCTGTGGAGAGCATCCAAGCCAGTTTACATGTGTCATTGGTTTAGATCTTCTACATCAGGGGTGTCCAGCCTGTGGGCCACACGTGGCCCAGGATGGCTATGAATGCAGCCCAGCACAAAATCGTAAACTTACTAAAAACATTATGATTTTTTTGCGATTTTTTTTGTAACTCAGTTGCGCTGTTCTCAAGCATGAACTTTGTAGACGACAACGTGGTGTCGCAGTGTCACGTAAAATAAACGTACGTATACTCTCGCTATTTGTACGCATGTGTGGCTTTAGTTTTATGATGGTGCTTGGCTTCCAATGTGTTATCTTCCAAGTGCAGACAGTAGAATTGATACCATCAGATGTTATATGTGCTCGTGGTGACTTGGCAAGTGAAATGCAGCGATTATCAATATTTCAACCTATCATTGAAAACGATAGACGTTTAATGTTATTTAGAACATAGGTAAGCATTCTTATTTGATTATTAAGGGTACTTCTACACCTCGGCCACGCCTCATGCATTGCCCGCCACGCTTTACCTATGCAATTGGGCCTCTACCTCACGTTGCATCGGCAGCCAAGATGTGGGAGGGCCTAAACCTTGCTCTCTATTTTCCTGTCAATTAATTTTCATAATAAAAGTAAATATAGTCCCTTATTTATTATTATTTTTTTAATCCCAGCATGGCTTCTACAATGTCTCAAAAGAAAACAGAACCCAAAAAAAGAAAAATTACTGATGAAGGAAGATTGTTCAACGAAAAGTGGACAGATGACTACTTTTTTGTCGAGACAAGTAGTAAGGCACTCTGCTTAATTTGTAGGGAATTTGTGCAAGTTTTCAAACATTATAGTTTGAAAAGGCATTATATGCAAAAACATGCTGCCAAATTCAATGCATGTCAAGGATTGTGTCATAAGGACAAACTGAATTGAAAGAATTGGACAGGAATTGAAAACTGAAAAAAAGTCTGAAAACTGAAAAAAAGTTTTCAGTCTGAAAACTGAAAAAAAGTCTGTCTTCTCAACAAGTTTTTTTTAAAAACATTACAACTCAGACAGATTCTATTGTAAAAACTAGTTATGTGGTAGCATATTTAATAGCAAAAAAATCAAAACCAAATACTGATGGTGAGTTTATTAAGCAATGTATGAAAAGCGTGGCAGATATAATTTGCCCTGAAAAAAAGGGGGATATTTCTAAAATTGGTTTGTCTCACCAGATGGATTGAATTGAAGAAA